CTCCGCTGGACTGATTTTACTTAGGGCTTGATTTACATGAATTGCTTGAAGGGTTCTGTCAGTCCCTTGCATAGATGCTGGTGGTTGATTCGTTGACATCATAATAGGTGGATTTGGTGTTTGTTCAGATTCGGGTTCAAGTGGTGCTTCACCGGATAAGATAGCAAGAAGATTAGATGACTCTAGGAAAGTTTGATCCCCTTCGTCTTCTTCTTCTGAGTGATAAGATGATTGAGATAAGTTTTCGATCAAGGTTGGTTCGAGTTCATGGTCACTCATTCATAAATATCGAATCGTATAATATACTCTCGCTACCATGAAAATGTCTGACTCGATTCAAACACCCCTATGTGAAAACTGATAGATGATAATGTTAGATAAGATAATAGCTGATCTGGCTTCTGCTCTTAGGAAAGACCGCTGACCTGATAGATGATAATGTTAGATAAGATAATAGCTGATCTGGCTTCTGCTCTTAGGAAAGACCGCTGACCTGTGATGAGGTTTAGCGTAACAAGTAAAGAGCAAGAAGATTAAAGTCAAACTTGTAAGTTTAACTGATCTTGGAACTGGCTATGAGAACAACAACAATTCTCTTTCCGAAGATTATATTAATTACCTGATAGATGATAATGTTAGATAAGATAATAGCTGATCTGGCTTCTGCTCTTAGGAAAGACCGCTGACCTACAACACAGTTTAGTAACAACCACAACACAAAGATGAGAAAGGTGAGTAATGTAGTATGAAATGAAAATCTAGTAGAATATTTTATAAGTACCTGTGATGAGGTTTAGCGTAACAAGTAAAGAGCAAGAAGATTAAAGTCAAACTTGTAAGTTTAACTGATCTTGGAACTGGCTATGAGAACAACAACACTTCACATTGAAACATCAGATTAATTCAATAAAGAAAAGAAATTAGATAAAACGAAAAATGAAACATACGTACATTCTCTTTCCGAAGATGAGGAAAAGAGAATGTACTTTGGGGGTTTAATAACTAGCTTTATATATGATCTTTTGGTTGGGGTAGAATATCTTTTGTAAGTAATCTTTTCTTATACCCGTGTAGTGATTCTTATAATGACATCATTGAATTTTCCTAAATTGTTAATCACTTCTCGTAACTGCTCTCTTTACACATAGTCGATTGGACACCAACAGAATAAGTATTAGTTTGTTCAACAAAAAATCAAAATCTTTGATCTAATATCCTATATTGTATTTTCAAATTCCCAATTCACAATGGTTATAAAAAACTTACAAGAAGAATTCAATATGATTAGATATTCAACCTATCTTTCTAGATTTTACCATCTAGGTTTCCTTACAATGTCATTGTTCTGCTTTGATACTTCATTCACCAACTTTGGAGCACTGTGAGAGTTACATGATTTG